ATGCGATGAGTCACGGCAGTAAGGACCTAACTGGGTGAGTTCTTGTCGGCCCGAGGACGTCTGACCGGCCCTGGCGGCCCTGCCGGCCTGCACCTTTCTGCATTGTGTCCTGCATGTCCAATGGGTAGTGCTTCTGGGTCAGAAATGATCAGTCAGAAAAAGGACAGTGACTGTCACAATACGTCTCACCGTCTAACCCACACTGGAAAAGGACACGTCAACCAGACTGCTTGGGCGCAAAGAAGTAGAGGAAACGTGAGTCATCTCACCTTGGAGCGTCTTATTTGTTCAAGCTTTCCCGAGCGTTTGCGTATCATGCACCAATAAAGCAACAGGGAGTGGCCATATAGCCAAGCACCTAGGCGAGGACCTTAGTCCTTGTCCTAGGAGGGGGAAAGGGGGGCCGTAGCACTGGCCTTTAGATTAGCCACACCGCAGATATCCAAACAGGGTCCTAGGCGAGGACCTTAGTCCTTGTCCTAGTGGAGAGTGAACTGCCGAAAGTTTTGTCTTCGCCTACTCCCATGTCCTCAGGATCCTGTCTGGTGCCTAGGCCTGGTCCTTGGGGGCCCCGAAATCTCCCTGCGGCCTGTCACCGCCCAATGGGGCCGGCCATTGCGTCCTGTGGAGCACCACCTCTGGCCTCTGTATGGGCCTGGCCGCTTGAGGGACGGCCGTTGAGGCCGAACAGAGACGAACTGCCATCCGTCCGGGACGCGACCTCTGCGATCACAGGTCTCTGTTTCTCGTTGGTGAGGGAGCACTTCCGCACAGTCTGAACTGCAGATCTGGGCCAGCCCTGCCTGGGGCAACAAGCATCTCCACACCTGGCACTGTGCCCACCGTCAAGCGATTATGCCGCACCAGCCGGACCGGCGCGGAGAAAGCACCCCTGGCGAGTGCCCGATCGCCCGTCGGACCCCAGCGGAATCCGCGGAAGCCGAACGAAGCCTCCCGCCCGAAACCGTGCCAATCTCCCCGACACCGGGCCGGTGAATTCGGGTCCCAAAAAGGCGCCTGAGAGTTTTGTACAAAGTGTCCACGTGCCTTGCGACCCCCGATGTGCAGGTCGTAAAAGCCTGGCCGCATGTCTGAGGTCCACAAGAACGGCTTCATCTCGGCTTTCTTTGTGGTGCTTGGTTTCTTCTTTGTTAGGATTGAAACCCTGTTAGTCCCGTGACTGAGGGTTGTGCCAGCCCGAAATATATGACGAAGCCTGGATGCCAAATGAGCTATGTGATGTCATGTGCGTTCAAAGGATTTACCGGATTTCAAAGGATGCAGATTCGTCAGCTCCTTTAGGTGCTTGGCACCTGCTCCTCACACTTAGGAACTTCTGAAAGAAACACGCAACCAGGTCACTCATTTGAGGAGGCCCACGGATCTGGTTTTTTGCAGGAGAGTACGGTGTCATGTTTTGTCATTCGGTCCGTCTTCTTTCCAGGTCCAGAACTACCTAACAGCTCCTGACACCAAAAGGAGCACTTTCGGCCCAACACACGATCCGCAGCTCCGACCAGAATTCTATCATACCCCCTCTTCGGACCTGTTCCCCTCCCAGTCACTCCCTTCATGGCCCCGGTCCTGCATCCAGCACGCGCCCGGCCGCCGCCCCTTGTGGCGAGCATGGCACCGAGGGGCTGGGCGACGGCGAGCGCGAGGGCGCCGCGCTGCCGAAGGCCTCCCAGACACAGCGAGTGTCCTGGGTGGGGCTCGGAGGTTGATCAACTCAGGTCCTTGAGGCCTCCACCCTAATAGTAATGGCCTCCACCCTAGAAGGGTGCGATGCCCTCCACCCTCCTAGCAATGGCCTCCCTCCTAGTAGCGATGGCCTCCACCCTAATAGCGATGGCCATTGTTCGTTTGTAGCTTCTAGCACTTATGCTTCTCCTCTTGTGTGTGTGTGTGCTTGCTGTTCTTTTTCTTGTTTCCTTTTGCTTCTTTGTCTTTGTCTCTGTCTTTGTCTTTGTCTTCTTATTATTATTATTCGTCTTCTTCTTCTTCTTCTTATTCTTCTTCTTCTTCTTCTTCTTCTTGACCAGAAGAAACGCTTGGCCCAAAGAACCAACCTTTCATTGACAACCAACGCGAAGGTAGCATCCAAAATGATTCGTCAGACATTGACACACCAAATTTGTCTCATCTCTGCCCGGCGCAGCTCCTGGTGTTCATCGTAGTGCTTCTTCTCTCGTCGCTTGGAGCGCGTCCCCACATTGTCCAGGCCAGTCATGGCGTCGTACAAGCACTTGGTTCTGATCAAATTTGCCTGAACCTGGGTGATCGAAAACTACCCTGTCTTAATGGTGAGAGGGAATCAGGGATACTCAAGTCTCGAAAAAGATTCGTCAGAGATCCCATAGGGTTTCTGCTGCACCTCTCTCCATGGGCCTATTATGCCTCTTGTGTATCTTGAGAATGCTGTAACAGCCTCCCTTTCCTCCTAATGATCCTAATGGCCCTGTGCAAAAGTGGTGTGCAGTTCAAAGAACCTTGAAGTTAACAAGCTCTTTCTAGTGCACTGGTTACATGACCTGGCTTCTTGACTGAACCGCCTCTTTATTTGGTTGAACCGGAGCTGGAAACTGCAACAGTATGCAGTATGCTTGCAGTATGCCTCGACTTGGACAAACAGTGTGCCCAACATGTTCAGGCCTGAAAGTGCTGGAAGGCTCAATTATTTGTGGAGGCCATCGCTAGTAGGGTGGAGGTTACCTTAAGGGTCGGCTACTCTCGCGTAGGCGTAACCTCACGGAGTTGGATTTCCACAGTACTTCAAGTTGACACCACTTTAGCCATCGCTCTCTTTTCCACCTGCTGAGCTTCGAGATCTCCTGCGGGGCAGGCGCCCTTTGAGGTTCTTTCAACACTCGTCCCGGCTCAAGCTAGGATGAAAGAATCCGATTCTTTAGATCCTTCAGATCCTTTGAGTAGGATAAAATAACAACAACACCCCAACCACCACGCCACCACACCACCCTCAACGCCTCCGGCATTTCCCACAGGCACCGCAGCAGCCAAGAGCGCAACCTGCCGGAGCCTGGACGTGCAATCTGGACAGATGTAGATCTGCGTTCATCTGCGTCGTGCTCCCTCACCCAAGCCAGTTGGAGGACCCATGGGGTTGACTGACTCCAGTCGTCACGTGTTTGGTCAGAAAAATGATGCCATCCACAGGCTTTCATCGGTGCCACTGTGCCATGCCTCCTTAAGTACATATTTCTGGATGACGATCTTCGACCTTTGCGCAGGGCCCTTTTGGGCGTCCTACATATAATAGTCCCTGTTGAAAGTGGATCAGCATCTTTGCACTAGTCTAGGGCGCAGGGAAGCACCCAGCTTTGACCATGGTTGCTGCACGCCCAGCGTCAGCCGACACCATTGACCCAACCAAGAAGGACTGCGGCCCCGAGCTGTCGATCCCAGTCATCGATCATCCGACCTCAGTGGCACTCCGGTGACGGGTGGATTAAAGACATCCAGCGCCTGGCATACCAAACACTGCAAATGGTAGCGACATGATGTGTTTCTTGATAGCGATAGTCTAGTATGCATTGTTGGTGCACGATGTCTTCAATCAGTAGTGGATGATGATGATGATGATGATGATGATGATGATGATGATGATGATGATGATGATGATGATGATGACGATGACGATGACGATGACGATGACGATGACGATGATGATGATGATGATGATGATGATCATCATCATCATCATCATGAGGATGAGGATGAGGATGACGATGACGATGATGATGATGGTGATGGTGATGATGATGATGATGATGAAGATGATGATCGTTATTCAGGTCGCTTCTCGACGATAGCCGCCCGCACCATTCGCTCTGAGAGACAGCACCAGGAAACAATTGAACACCCCTGCAAGTTACCATTCATCCACTGCATAGTACCGTCAATCTCAAGGTCTTATGTCAATCATGCACATTGTCATTGTATAGTTTGTTGTATATAATCCCTCTATTTTTCGAACCTCTTCAAATTGTGCATGTTTTGGGGGTGGCCAAAGTGTATCCAACAATGCCTGCAATTGTCTATTTCCCAAATGCTTCTTTTATTCGTCCACTGCCCACTGCATGCTACAGTTCATCTCTAGGTCTTATCTCGATCATGCGATTGACTAGTGTTTTGAAACCACTGATCTCCAGGTCTTGCGTCGATCATGCTTTCCGTAGTTTTAAATACATCTGTGTTTTACTAATACTAATACTAGACTAGCGTCAGTTGCATCACCACGTCCAAACAAACGACAGTTTGGGCCATTTCTCACTGCAAGCGTACCACTTCATGCCCTCTTCCGCGTGTTCCCTGTGCTGTTGCAATGTTTTCTCCCACCACCGCTTCACCTCCAGACACACCTCACGATGCAGGATATGCAATTCCATTCCCAAACACAAAAACCACCCCCCTAAGCTAAAGCTGTAGAAGTTCAGTATTCGCGGCCTAACTCACACACGCAACATGACGCTTGCACAAACCCAAATTGGGGAACGTGGACATGGTCAGGTTCGTTAGATGCATCTGAAATGCCGTAACCTTTCTTATCTAGTTCCATCCTCACGAGCAACGGCTTCCAATCTGCTGGACCCTCCGACTCCAACAGCCCCCCCAACTCTTCAGAGTTCCCCAGCGGTGCTTCTCGTTCCTTTGGCTGCAGCGCGTGGTGAAACGATCGGCCTTGCGAAGTCGTGCTGTGAGCGTTGCCGACTTCCTCTCAACTTCTTGCGTCATAGGGATGGATTACAGGTCTCAACTAGGAGGTGCCCTGGCTTTGGGATCCTGCGCTGCTCATGCAGAGCATGGGTTATCCTATCCTGGTACTTGGGAGTATCAATCTCCTGTTGCCCATTTCTTGGATCTTGTAATTCCAAATAGGAAGGTTGACCATCCCGTCAGGCACAGAATTTTGTCCTGCAAATTTGGGACTTATATGTACACCCCAAAAGGCACTGTATGTTGACCCCCAGGTACAAAGTGCAGACTCATTCATTTCCCCTGCCACCCACCAGGCTCCAGCCATCCTGGTGGTCTTCTTTTTCAACCTGCAGCCACTGCTGTGACATTAAAGAACTTGAAGACTGCGATTCAAGCCTCGGTGTGCGCAAACGATGATTGGCCTTTAACCTAGCCAAATTTGGGCGCCCCAAAATGATTCACCAGCATTTCACCCTTGCTCCATTCTCCAGCCACATGCACGCGCCTGCACTTACGCGAAGGCAAGCAGACTGGATCATGAGCCGCAACCTGGTGATCTTGTGGAGATTGTGTTGCCATGACGGTGTCTGTCACCTCCACATCGTTGTCCAAAACAACATCGGCTTGGAACTCCTCTCCATCTCTGCCAACACGGCCAAGCTTCTTTTGCTCCTTCTCATACTCGACAAGCGTTCGTTCCAGATCAGTGAATGCCTGTTGACTCAGCAATGTGTTTTGCGTGGATCGAGTCTCGGGCATAAGGTTTCGAAAATGATGCGCTGCCTTGGGATCTGGTTGCGGGCCATGCTTCATCATAAAATGGTCCGTAAATTTCAATCCAAATCTGCCTGCATTGGTGAAGTCCATGTACTTCTGCCAGCTCCAGTCCGACATCTCGGGACGAATCCAATCATTCAGCTGGACATCAACTCTTCCATGGTGGGAGCCAAGCCCAGTTCCTGAAACATGGCTCGTTCAAGGCAATAGTGATCACCTGGAAGGACCAGGGGCTCTGGGGCATGCAAGCGTTTCACGTGCCCAAGTCCATGAACATTTCTGTGCATGCGGTGCAGACCCTGAGGATTCAGGACCATTGGCTCACCCTTCTCATCCACAGGATCTGATGCAGCTGGTCCACCAGCACCACGCGGGCACCAAGCTTCTCAGCCAGCTTCTGCCCGCGGAAATCCAGCTCACAGCCCTGGCCAGTCAAGATCGCTTCAGCCTGCCGACGAAGGATGTGCGCCATGGCCTGGATTCTTGCAGCGACGGACTGCTACAGTTTTTTCCAGCTGGAATGCCAATCGCTGGAGCCTCCAAGGTTTCCACAGAACTGCCTCAAGGGTGCATGGACCATGGAGCCGGAATCCAAGCAGAGATTCAAAGGCGAAACTATATGTCAAAAGAGTGCGCGCATCCTGCACTCGCAGCAACTGCCCCCGGCGGCCCCAAACCGGGTGCTTCCCCAAATGCATCACAAACATCACATGTATTAAAAGGAAAACAATGCAAACCCAATCCCTCCAACGACACCCCAATCAACCCTAACGTCACAGACCAACGATCCGATGCCCAAGAGCATAGCGCCTCCTCCTCTCTGCGTCGCTTGCCACACTGAAGGGCGGCCTGATACCAGCTTCCGGAGATTGCTGAGTTGCGTCTTCCGGGTATGAGCTTGGAGGCCATTAGGTTGGAGGCCATCGCTATTAGGTTGGAGGCCATTCCTAGTAACAAGAAGCTATTAGGTTGGAGGCCATCGCTATTACGTTGGAGGCCATTCCTAGTAACAAGAAGCTATTAGGTTGGAGGCCATCGCTATTAGGTTGG